TGCTAATCCTCCATTTTGCCAGCAACAGAAGCAAAAAGAGCACAAAAATATTCACAGCACAATTTCCTGAGATGTTAACAGGGCAAGGTTTAAACTGACTCACAGTGGTGCGTTCTCTCCTTTGTTTTTGGCATGAGAGATGCTTTTTGTGATGTATCAGCATTAGAGGGCTGTTAGTTCCAGAACCAAAGTTAACTGAGACTTTTCTCCATGAACAACTTGGTCGAGAACTGAATTGTTCAAGATGGGAGGCATTCGAGAACCAAGATTTGACTATAATTATTGCTAAAGTCATTTTCAAATGAAAAAGAAGACAACAAAAAATTAAGCCTGATACAATCTGACCAAACACGTATCAATTTACAGTTTCAAGATTATTTTACAAAATACCTACGTTTACACAATAGTCTCCAGACAGCATTTTAAAACAAAAGTTTTAATTTATCTTGATATGCTGCAAGTTAATAAATTACACTCTTAAGCGATTATTTAGTGTTTTATTTATTAAGTTTGTTTATTCAATAACTTTTTCTTTCTCTTGACTCAGGAAGAGAAAGAGAAAACAGCACACATGTAAGATGGTGAGAGGAAGTGCAAGCACACAGATAATTTACAGAAAAGGTGGTGGCTGGGGAGGATCAGCAATCGTGTGAACCTCATGCAATGCAAAGCTCTCCAACAATAAAAAATCAATCTTCTTAGAGCCACTTAACAAGGATTTTAAAGGAAAACTCCATTTTGTAGTCAAATCCTTTAACACTTTTATTCTGATTTAAAATCAGTCCAGCTGTTAGTCTGCAGCTGCAGTACTAAGTATCATATTGTGCATGAAAGTCATTCGAAAAAGAATGTCTTTCCTCTTCAGATTAAAAAAGTTTTTTTAAATAAAAGAAGTGAGGAAAAGTAATACTAAATCTAGGATGATTTGCAAAGGACTATTGTGTAACAAATGCCTTAAATTTAGTATATAAGGTTTACATTTTCATTTCTTTGATTTTGTTTATGCATTTCTTTTATCCTGCAAATCTTGGTCTTTAATGTCACTAAGCTGGTTGCTTATGTTATATTAGTTTTAAAATATTAATATCAATATTATTACTAATAATATGGTTACTAAAACAGCTTGACTTTTTTATTTCTTTTGTTTGCTTATTTTGCAGTTTTTCTTGTTCTTTTGTTATATTCTACAGGGAGTGTACAGTGAAATTGCTCTGTCTATAACTTGAAGTAATTCTCTGTGGTTAAGCCACCAACCTATTACACAGTCATGTTCATATGTTTCATTTATTTAGAAAAGTGCTCATGGCATTCTTTCTTGGTTTCTACCCCTAATGTATATCTAATTTTCTATAATTTCAAGGAATCTGCAGAAATAATGGAGGTAGATGAATGCATCAGTTATCTTTACAAAATTATCTCAATTTTAATTATTTTTACATATATATTTTATACATAATTTTGTGTTTCACATTTAAGTTTTCACTTGCTATCTGTGTAGTTCCAGTGTCATTAAATATTTTTCCAAAGTATATTTAAATGGTTTATACTATTCTATTTTGTGAACCAGTAATTATTTGGGAGCATTTCAGATTTCCCCCCAGTTTTTCACTATTATAAGTAGTGCTACGATGAACAAACTCTATACATACATTTTTAATGCATTATTACTAAGGGTTAGATAGATTCATTACTCTGAACAAAGACCACATATATATTTTCAAGGCTAAATTTTAAACATTTAGAAAAAAGAAAACAAAAAAATATTTACAATCTCATCAGTAGATTGGTGATTCACCACACAATTGGTATTGAGTATTAAGTTCAAATGCATAAATAAGTTAATATATACGCATATTTTTATTTCCTTTTAAATTTTTTCAGTTCTTCAAATACTGCTTAGTTAAAATTGTTTTTATGAATATATGGTCACATTTTTCTCTTCTGTGAAATGGTTTTTCCTTTGCTGACTTTCTTTTAAACACTTTATGATTTTGTTGTTGTTGTTAATCCTCACCCAGGATATTTTTCCACTGATTTTTTAGAGAGAGTGGAAGGAAGGGGGAGAGACAGAGAGAAAGAAATAAAGATGTGAAAGAGACACATAGATTGGTTGCCTCCCACACGTGTCCCAACTAAGGCCAGGGACCGAGCCTGCAACTGAAGTGTGTGCCTTTGACTAGATTAAACTCATGACCCTTCAATCCACTGGCCAGTGCTCTGTCCACTGAGCCAAACCAGCTAGGACAACACTTTATAATTTTTTTAACGATTGTTGTATTTGTATCTTTCTCAATCAGCACATTTATTAACTTATTGTAATTTTTTAATATAAGGGAATTTTACTAACATTCCTGTTGCTGCAAATGTTTTCCTAATTTGCTATATACTTTAAATTTTACCACATATGAAAATCAAGTTTTATATTTATGTTAAATAAAATGCATTAATTTTTATCTGTGATTTTTTTTCTGTTATTTTTGTTTAGATGAAACTTTCTCATCTAGAGACCAAATAAATATTCACCTTTATTTTATTTGAGATTTCTTATGCTTTCTATTTTTAAATTCAGATTTAAATTAAGTTTCAGTTTATTTTTATGTATAGAAAATTTACTTTTCCCAAGCAACCAATTTTCTCAGCTGATTTTAATACTCATTCCCTTTGGTTTGCAATAGTGTCTTTATTATATATTAATTTCTCAGGTAGATATATACATATTGTAACATCTCTTTCTAGGCTATCCATTTTGACTCATATTTTTTATACAAATTTAAATGTTCATAGCTCTATAATCCAAATCCACTAGCAAATATCTTACAGGACAAGTCCATAAACATTTTATATTATAAGGAAAACAGGTTACAAACTTTCCTAAATGGCATTTCTCGACCTCAGTTGTCTTATGAGGAAATTTTTATCTCAACAACAGGCATTTGAAACCCTATTGACTAAAATGTTTATTATTACAGGGGTCCCATCAGCTAAACCACTTTTACAAAAGAATAAAAACAAGAGTAGCCTTTTCTTGTCAGGACGCTTGATAGCATCTGGCAAGTGCCATGTGCGTGTGAACGGTCAATGCCGTCTCTGTTACACCCTCATGTTATTTTCTTTTAAAATGAAAGTCTTCGTTCATGCTTTTCCCCAGAAATACTGACCTCAAACTCAGTTGTCACTTCTTCATGTGTTATCCACTTGGAACGAAGCTGTCATATCCATTTAGAGTCCTAGATGTTGCTGGTAAACCATGGCCTGCAGCTTCTAGAATCCAGCAAGGGCAGCAGTTTGAGGCATCAAAGCTCACACTTGAAGGGCTCAGGGAAGGTTGACACATGCTTGCCATGTAACTGATTTTTTTTAGAAAGGTAAAATGACTCCTGGATGAATAAACTATTGCTACCCACTACAACAGGAATGAATCTCAAAATAATTAGCCTGAGCCCGGCCATTGTGGCTCAGTGGTTGATTGTCAAGCCACGAACCAAGAGGTCACCAGTTGGATTCTGATCAGGGCACATGGTGGGTTGTGGGCTCGATCCCCAGAGGGGGCGGTGCAAGAGGCTCAGCTGATTGATGCATTTCTTTCATAGATGTTTCTATCTATCCCTCTCCTTTCCTCTCTCTCTAAAATCAATAAAAATACATAAAAATAATAATAATTAGCCTGAGTGAAAGAAGCAAGACCCCTCCCAAAATGTATAATTCTATTTACATAAAATTGTATAAAATGCAAACTAATTTATAGTGACAAAAAGCAGATGAACAGTTTCCTGGCAGGGGTGGGGGATCAGAGAGAGGCTCAGAATGTTGGTGTGATGAATATTGTTTTTATTTTGATTATAAAATTGTTCAGTTTAAATGTATACAGTTTATTGGACATTAGAATATTTGTAAATGTGTGTGCATGTGTGTATTTACAGTTGCATGAAACCAGGTAAATGGTAGGCAAGAGACAGAGAACAGAAAGAGGAAGGGACAGGAAAGTCTTGGAGAGCAGGCAAGACCAAGGAATCTCCAAAGGACTCCATCAAAGCTGTAATACAGCCCAGAACGGGGATCGAAGCTGGTTGGGCTGAGCAATACTTTGCAAATCTTAATTTGTACATAAACCCCCTGGGGCTGCTGTTCACATGCAAATTCTGATTTGGTCGGTCTGAGCTGGGGCCTGGGACTCTGCATTTCTCATAAGCTTCCAGGTGGTGCTTGTCTTCCACCAGAATGTGAGTAGCAAGGACTAGAGCATTTTTGTCAACTTTGGTTTCATATGAGAATCACTAGAGAGCTTAAAATAAATGAACAAATAAATGAATATTTTTAAAGTCCTGATGCCTGGATCTCATCCCAATCCCAAAGATTCAGATTTAATCGATCTTGAGTTCAGTCCAGACGTTTTTAAATCAGAAGTTTTTAAATCTACCCAGATGATTCTAATGTGCAGCCAAGATTGATAACCACTGTTCCAGAGAGAGTGGTAAAAGCCTTATTCGGGAATGAGGAGGAAAGAACCCTGAAAAGGTGGGAGGGATGGCAGGTATGATCTGGGACAGAGATGGGCCATAAGCCAGGCATGACAAATGATGGGTCTTCTAATATGCCCCAGACTTGTTTTAAAAATCACTTTCAAATAGGTTGTAAATTATTGCTTATCTGGCTACAGAATTGTATCTGCATCATAGAATTCTGCTTCTGAAACTACGGATGCATCAGAATCCTAATTACTTAATGAGACTTGTCAATTTCATTGTGCTGCTTGGAACTTAAAGAGCCAGCATTTGTCTGCATTTTGCTGACAAATGTCACCATTTGCAGACTGACCTGGTCTACTGATTAGGTTCACCATTGCTAAAATTACATATTGGGAAAGGAGTTACCTTTAGTGAAACAAAACATTTTTATTTTTCATTTAGTTGGTTAAGTTGCAGGTTAGGAGCAAAACAACCTTGAAACATACAACCGCAGCCTGGTTTGGTAATGCTCATTATGTTTGCCTTCTGATGCAGAGGATGCTGTGTACCTGGAAGATGATAGAGAGAGAGAAGAGTATGTCTTGAATGACATCGGGGTTATTTTTTACGGAGACTTCAATAACATCAAGAGTAGAAGCTGGAGCTATGGTCAGGTGAGCCATTTAAAATTTGTCATTGTCAAGGACATTTTGCTTAATATTTTTGTCACATGTATCACTGCAGGCTGCCATATGTCAATATGAGACAAGCATAATTTCCTGCTTTGCAGGATCTGAGACTCCAAGACAGAGAACCCAGGAGTAGAGACTTGGAAAGGCAACTGCATAATTCATCGGCTGAAATCACATAGCTTAGGTTATTGCGATGCTACAGAGTCTGTAGAAAGCACGGCATGCTAGTGAGAAATGCTGAGGCATCTTAGTGCAGTGACATCTCATAGCTCAGACCTGGCTCTGCAACCGGGAGGGGCCTGAGCTTCCCTTTCCTTGCAAGGAGCGGTGCCTTGGTAATGATGCAAAGGGTACTGCAAGGTGTGTGCCCAATTCAAAGAAATAACTTTTTACAGTGTTGGTATAAGACACAGCTAAAAGAAACGGGTGTTACCATTTGGTCAAAGGGCTTTTATCTAAGGACATTTTATCAGTTGCAACTTCAAGTTTCTGTCCAGATATAAAATATCTTACATGGATTTCATTTAAAATATTGAATAACTCGCACTATTTCAGTTTGGTATCTTTAACAAAGGAGCAAACGGGTATTTTACCGTATTTCCAGAAATGAATGCATATCCTGTGACTCAGAAGCAACTTCTCATTAGCAGCATGGGAGGGTGAGTGTGCCCTTTCTCAGCGAGTCTTGGCTGAGACGACTGGGATGTGCACCGTTCTGGTGCCCAGGGCGGAGAGTTCACAGAGTCTGGTCTCACCAGGTCGCATGACACTTTCTTGGCTTCTTGACGCTTTGCTTTGACTTCCATAGGGCCCTCCCTTCATCCCTCACCAGTGCTCCACACTGACCAATGGGTCCCAGGTCATCACTAGCTCCTGTTCACTTGGCTTTGTGTCCTGCTCCTTCCCCCTGACTCCTGAGAATCACTGCCCTCCTGTATTTCCAACATCCTGTCAAGCTAATGACCTGTGTTTCCTTCCCCTGTTTTGGATACCTGCCTGACTCACTGCTTATAAGGCCTTCCCTGGCCAGTGGCATACAACTCTTGATTATTGCCTGTTGTCTGGTGCCCTTGCTCCGGGTCCCTGATTCCTAACCTCTAGGTATGATTCTCTCTATGTTCCCAATGTAACAATATAGAGGGCTAATAAGAGACAAGTCACCAAGGTGGGGAGCAAAGAGGACTGGAAAGGGTCCTCCTCAGCCAGAATCTCTTTGGTGGTCACCCATGAACACAGCCACTGTCTGTCTCTATTCATTCGGAGTTCATTAATTTAGTCCTTCAGCATAAAGAACTAATTAACCCAGTAGTTTGCAGTGATGCAGAGAAACAACCAGTTCTATGACTACTCTTTTACCTCTCCAGTTCATTGATATTGTGTCCCACACAGCTGAGAGATGCTGCTTAAGAAGAACCAGAATAATGAGTTCTTTATATGCTTGGAGAACAAGTGCATTACCCATTACTGCATCCGTCACGTGTTTAGGTACATGCAGAGTTGGTATTTTCACTGGATTTAATAAATTATTACATGGTAATTAGCCATTGAGATTGTGGTTTCTGTCACAAGTGCTTGCATGGATAACTGTAAGATTACTGTGTTCAGGAAAATCTGTACACAGATACATACAGGTGAAATCTTCCCATTTTGTCATTTTATTACTACTTTGTCTTCATTCCTTTCCTAGAAAATGCTAGTGTTGCAAATGGCTAGCTTCTCCCTCCAAGGAAATTGAGCTGACTATAGGTTGTTCCCTTGATAACATAATCTACTTTGTCCTGCCCTCTCTTTGAGTCCACCTTGTCTCCAAAGAGGGAAAACCCTAGACAGACATTCACTGCACAAGGTCTCCTACTATTTCCCATGCAAGTTAAGGTATATAGACCTGAAGTGCCTTCTTGTGATATACTTGAGAGCCATTTATTTTCTGGATGCACAGGGACTTATGTTACTTTTGAGGTCTCGAGACTTTGGCCTGACTTTGGTAAATTGTTTATTCCTTTGCCTTGGGCACCGGAGCCAATATGTTGGAGAGATCCTCTAAATTAACTGGTACAATTTCCTGAAGAACTCCAAGTCAGTCCACGATCCTTAAGTACATCAGTTCTCTAGTAGTTCTGTTTCTATTTATAGCTTGCTTTCAAGTTCTTATTTATTTTACTGAGAAATAAAAGAGGATGTCTCCTTCATTCCACTTTAGTATGAAATATTAAGTATAAAAGATTATGAGCAATTACTATATAGGAATGCACATTTCTAAATATTGGGTTGTGGTTTCATTTTATTATTTTGCCAGAGCATATCTTGCTTACTGAGTGGACATTGAGTAGTTTCTCTTTTTTTTTCTAGTTTGAGGATGGCATCCTGGACGCTTGCCTGCACATGATGGACAAAGCACAGATGGACCTTTCCGGCCGAGGGAATCCCATCAAAGTCAGCCGCGTTGGGTCTGCAATGGTGAGCAACCACGACTGATTGCTAAACCAAGTACATGTCATTTGCCTCAGTTTAGATGTCAGTTCATTAAGAGCTATTGAAATGGTGACTGAAATGTAGTAAACTTTTATTTGTAATAGCCTGGAATTCCCCGAACTTGTCATGTGCTAAAAACAAAATTATTAACTCAGTACTATATGTTTCTTTAGCTTCAGACAAATGGTGAGAGATGACATGATACCAAAGACCACTTATTGTTAAGAAACTCTTGCCTAGGGACTAAGGAGTGACTTGGACAAAAGGTCAGTGACTGTAATCAATCAACAAACAAACAAACATGAAGGAGCACCAAAATATGTACAAGACACAGCTTCTCTCCATTTCCACACCCACAGAAAGAGTCAAAGAATACATGACTCTGTCTAAGCTCAGTTTCTATACCTCATCATAGGGCTTTATTGTTTAGAAAATGGGTTTTGATTCTTCATAGTAATCACATGAGATAAGTAGGGTGGGTATTAGTCATGCCACTTTACAAGTCAGGAAACAGTGCGATGACAGGTTGTCGGTGACAAAGCTCCCCCTGGAATCCAGGTCTGCTGACCCCAAATCTAGAGATTCTCTTCCTCCCATCTGCTCTCTGTGGGAGATCCGGAAGCATCATTGAGGATGCAGATCCTGCACTGTAGCAGCTCCCTGGGCGAGGAAACAATTCCCAGAAGTGAGGAGGTTGTGGTCAGGCATGGGAGGTGAGCTGCAGCGATGCCCAGGTCCTGTGCAGTCCTGGACGGATTGACATACACAGCGCATAGATCCTGCCCGTGGTGCATAACAGCACATTAAAGTTGATTCATGAGCAGAATATTCCTGAAGATACACTAAGCCATGTGCTATTTTATTCCATCAAAGACTGAGCAAAAATAATTCTTGTGTCACCAATTTTAAGTTTTCTATAAAAAATTCTCTCTGGAAAAAATAATGAGTTTGGTTTGAGCTCAATAAAATCAATATTGTCCAATCAATCAATAAGAGATTGAGAATGATATGAAATTTAATTTCTGGTTAGCTTGTAAGAAGGGTTGTTTTCATTAATAACTAAGCTACATGTGAATTTAAGAAATAGTGGAGCATAAAAATAGGAGCTAAAAACTAACCTCTAAAGGCAGTTTTGCTTTCTGTTGTTAGTTTACATTGCATAATGAAAACAGTGAATTCTAAAGAAAGAATTTAGGATTTCTGTACAAGAAATATTTATAACCACATGCATTAAACCTGCAGTCAATCCCTATTTTTCTTGTTTCTCAGACAAAATTTCCTTTTTTGTTCTCCCTTGAAGTCACTGTGACAGGTTTGCAGTGAGAAGGGAAGCAATGGCTAGTGGTTGAAAATAAGTGAATTCCTCGTAAGCATTCTAAAATGGCCTGCTCATCAGCCTAAGCTTCCTCCACGCTGTGTGTATCTTCACTAATCCAGAAGCCACTGCCAACCACAGCCAATGCACGAGGGAAGCAAACATGAAGCCGCCAACCCAGCACTTCCCTCACGGCAGCTGGCCAAGTGGAAGCTGTCAAATTTTGAATTAATCACATAATCCTAATACAAATAGCCTTGCATTTTATGAATCATAAAAAGCTATGGAGTTCTAATTTTGAAAATCTGTAACCTAATTACAAGATTTAGCACTAGACAGCATCTATTTGGGGGATGGTTTGCTTTGCTTTGCTTGTTTTTTGGAGGGGGAGGTGTTAGATGTTGGGGCCAATATCTCTATTTTCACCAACACCATTGCTTACATACACAAAATACACGTTTGATCATTTTCAAAATCTTTTCTCAACTATTATCTCTTTTCATCCTTAAAAGAGCTCTGTGAATGTTTCCAATATCTATTCTGTTATAATGATTTTAGAAAATAAATATTGAACCTCCAAAAATCACTTATAAAGGCGACACTTTAAAATAAAGTCAACTGTTGCCCTGGCCAGTGTGGCTCAGTTGGCTGAGCATTGTCTTGAAAAGTCACTGGTTCAGCTCTGGGTCAGGGCACGTGTCCAGGTTGTGGGTTCAATCCTGGGGTCAGGGTGCATGCCAGAGGCAGCCGATCGATGTTTCTCTCTCAAATCGATGCTTCTCTCTCTCTCTTTCCCTCCCTCCCTCTTTCTCATACTCTCTCTCTCAAATCAATAAAAACATATTTTTATAAATAATGAAAAAAATAAACTTTTCTAATCATTCAGGCAGTTCCTCTCCTATTAACAAATCCTGGAAATCTATCATGAAATTTCTGAGTGAAGTTAAGCAATGACTGAAAAAAAAGAAAACAACAAAAAACTCATATTCTCAATTAGAGATTTGCTTCAAAATATGAGATGTATTTAGAAAGCTCAGAAGGAAAATATTCTGAAGTTGCCAGTCTAGCCAGACCAAGGCGGATGGGCTGTGTGGCTTCCCAGGGCTGGCCCAGTTCACTGGGAGAGCAGAGGCTGCGGCAGGGTGTTTGGGGAGTTGTTCTCAAACATCCCCCGCCTGGCCACTGAGGCTGGGAGTGCCTTCCACAGGATACAAGTGCTGGAACAGAGATGCATCGTAACACAAAAATGTTCTGGGGAGGGTAACACTCTGACTTCACTTCATGCCTTGATGAAAATGACAGGAGGCAGAAATTTTCTGGGCTCAATTGTTGTCAGGAAGGAGTGGAGATGAGCAGCCTGGCACCAGCTGGGCACCTGGAAAGGTGAAGTGGGGACAAAAGGCAGGAGCAGAAGCCTGGGGCCCCAAAGACGAGTTGGCTTAGGGTGGTCATGGCAAAGTCTAGCACTGAATGTTGGCAAGGAATTTGAAGGGAGTAGGTGGGTGCATGATGCTAAAGGAGCACTGATAGTAACCCATGTTGTGCAAACTTTCTAATAATAATAATAATTAATAAATAATAATAATAATAATAATAATATAAATCTGGATTTTACGCACACAGCCCCAGATAAATATCATTATTGTCCAGTGTCTATGGCCTCGGGAAGTTCTTTGCTGTGGGGGTGTCCTGTGCACTGGAGGATGTCTGGCAGCATCCCTGGCTTCTGTTAAAGAAATGTCAGTAGCATCCCCGCACCTCCTGCAGTCACAATCAAAAATGTCTTCAGACATTGCCAAACATCCCCTTGGGATCAAAATCACCCCCGTGAGGGCCACAGCAGTAAAGCCCTCTGTGGCTCAGTTTCCCTACCTCTGCAATAGACAAAACCCTCTCTTCTTGACTGCATAGGGTATCTGTCTTTTTACGTCACTCAAACCTGTTGGTTTTCATTCCGCCAAAGAAAAGAAAGAGGAGGCAGCATCGACCTGAGCTGCCCATGTCAGAGGAGACCTCTCGCTTCTGACCCCGCCAGCCTCTGTGTGACCCAGGGCAAACCACTCAACCTCTCCAGGCCTCACTTTCATCTTTAAAAGGAAATTTTGCTCCTGTTCTCAAACCACATTTGTTATTCCCAGTGGCAGCAAAATATCCTTTTATTCTTCAAAATGATGTTCTTCTTTCTTCTAGTGTTTCCTCTATAAATTCAGTATCTTATTTGGTTCTTCTTTTAAGTTACATTACTTCACTTTGATGTGAAAATAGGAAAAACTTATGATAATTTGGATAGCCCTGGGCTATTGGATTCTCCCAGGAGAAAATCTAAAAATTTTGTAATTTCATTGTCTGGGGTTTGGGCCGGAGGTGTTATAACCTTACATAAGCTACCTTTTATTTAGGCTTTTCTAAATACTGAGTGGTACATTTTACCACAGCTACATTGCAGATTGATGAAAGAGAAAATTTTTAAAAAGAGAAAATTATAAAAGGAAGAAACTTGCCCAGAGTTATACTGTCTCCTTTAAACTACATTGCTTGGCTGCTGTTTTCTTTGCACCTCATGTCTGATGTAGCTGTACCCACCAGGACAATTGCCAGGAAATGTGCCAGGAAAATTTTAGAAAGATGCTTTGTGCCATCTGAAACATATTTCGCTCACAGGGCATTAATAAAGCATTCCATCGTTGGCCCTGGGTTGCTGTGAAGAAGCCACCATGGACTCTGAGCCCCAGTCAGACACCAAAACAGCTGTTCTCTGCCATGTTGTGACAAGGACAGCATGGTCCTGGGGAAAGGGAACACAGTGACAGTAGCTGGCATTTCCACTGCATGGTTGCCTATCTCTGTTTCTACCCCTTGACTGACTGGATCTGGCAGCAAATGTGGATAGAGATGTTCTCCACAGAGGCGCACTGTTGCTGCAAATGGGTGCTGTTGCTTATCATAAGTTTATCTGCTTGTTAAGCAGATACCGCTTGCTTGTTCACTGTGAAACCCCGAACTTCTCCCCTGAGGGCAGGTTTGCTCCTTTGGGTTGAGACTTTGTCAATAGAAGAGCTGTGTTGAAATGCAGAGAACATGTACTTGAGATCTGGATGGTGCTCCAGGGGTCTTCTGGTAAAGAGCAGATGCCCTGGGAAATGATGTCACTCAAGGTCACACAGCAAAGAAGTAGCTGAGCTAGAACTAGGTATGGTCCTTGCTCTCAGATCATATTACCTCAGTGGGCCATTACCAACACATCAGTACTAATCACATGATTACTATATCAAATTAAGTAGCTGTTTCCTAGGGTGGGAAAGGGCCCAAAGGAATGGGGTTCAGAGACAGGTGAATTTTGAAATAGGGGAATATGTGAAGAAAGGTGTAAATCAGAGAATTCTTAATAGCCAGAGGTACTAGGACTTTGGAGGAAAAGGTTCTAAAGAGAATTAGGTACCAAATATGGTTTGATGGTGGTATTGGTGGTTGTGCTGGTGCTGATAGACCTAGGGTGGGAAAGGGCCCAAAGGAATGGGGTTCAGAGACAGGTGAATTTTGAAATAGGGGAATATGTGAAGAAAGGTGTAAATCAGAGAATTCTTAATAGCCAGAGGTACTAGGACTTTGGAGGAAAAGGTTCTAAAGAGAATTAGGTACCAAATATGGTTTGATGGTGGTATTGGTGGTT